ACCTTCTGTCTAAGGACCGACTAGGATCACCCAGCCACATAATAATACACACAGGCACAAACGACCTGAGAACACAGCAGGAAAGGGTGGCCACATCACTCAAGGGCGTGATAGAAAAAGCTTCTTCTACTTTCCCCCAACGCACAAGTGGTTATCTCAACCCTGTTACCACGAAAAGACTTCCACCCTGCTACCATACAGCGGGTAAACGCAAGTATATCCCGTGACTGTGCATCAAAACCAAATGTCTTCCTGGCCCACCACTCCACCCTGGACGTGAACAGCCTTTACGACCAGGTCCACCTATACAAGGCAGCAGTGCCCACCTTCGCCCGGACCCTAAAGGATATCGCCCTCAACCGCAGACCCAACACCTCACACAGGAGCAACAGATCAACAGACACCCCCGCCCAGACCAGCGAGACACTCTCCCAGACCTGCGGGACCCCCCCCAGGACCTACACATAGAGGACCCCCGCAGAGAGGACCTACATCCAGACCACAGCACCATCAACCACATCTACAACCCCCACCCCAACCAATTAACTCCCCCCCAAGTCAACCATGCCCACACCCCATTTAGGCCCCCTCAGATCAGACCTATGCCCCTCCTACCCACCCCAAGCCCCCCACTCCCACAAAGAGGGCCTCAACATGAAAGTCACACATACGCCCAGGCCGTGAGCAGGCAAACAGGCCCAACACCCACTCTTACACTAGCCCAAGCCAATGGCATGTACCAGATGCTCAGCAGGCTCTGCTCACAATTACTGGCCTGAGGCCAAACCACACAACCAACAACATTAGACACTTTATGGAACACAAAGCCTTCACTATTTCATCCTGGAATATCCAAGGCCTGAGGTCATCTGCCTTTGGCCTAAAGAGCAGGAATCTGGACTTCACCAAAGAAATCGGAAATACAGACATTGTCATCCTACAAGAAACATGGTATAGAGGAGACGGACCCACTGGTTGCCCTCTAGGTTACAGAGAGCTGGTAGTCCCATCCACCAAACTACCAGGTGTGAAACAGGGAAGGGACTCAGGGGGTATGCTAATTTGGTATAGAGCAGACCTAACTCACTCTATTAAATTAATCAAAACAGGAACATTTTACATTTGGTTAGAAATTCAAAAGGAAATTATCTCAACTGAGAAAAATGTCCTCCTGTGTGCTACCTATATCCCCCCACTAGAATCCCCATACTTTAATGAAGACAGTTTCTCCATCCTGGAGGGGGAAATCAATAATTTCCAGACCCAGGGACATGTACTAGTCTGTGGCGACCTAAATGCCAGAACTGGACAAGAACCTGACACCCTCAGCACACAGGGGGACAAACACCTACCTGGAGGTGACAGCATTCCCTCCCCCATATGCCCCCCCTAGGCACAACTACGACAACATAACCAACAAAAATGGGTCACGACTCCTGCAGCTCTGTCGCACACTGGGTATGTACATAGTCAATGGTAGGCTTCGAGGGGACTCCTATGGTAGGTACACCTATAGCTCATCTCTTGGCAGTAGTACTGTAGACTACTTTATCACTGACCTCAACCCAGAGTCTCTCAGAGCGTTCACAGTCAGCCCACTGACACCCCTATCAGACCACAGCAAAATCACAGTCTACTTGAACAGAGCAATACTCAATCATGAGGCATCAAAGCCAAAAGAACTAAATAATATTAAGAAATGCTATAGATGGAAGGAAAGTAGTGTTGAAACCTACCAAAAAACAATTAGGAAACAACAAATTCAATCCATTCTAGACAACTTCCTGGACAAAACGTTCCACTGTAATAGTGAAGGTGTAAACTTGGCAGTAGAAAACCTAAACAGTATATTTGACCTCTCAGCTTCCCTATCAAATCTAAAAATCTCTAACAGAAAACCAAAGAAAAGTAATAACAGTGATAAATGGTTTGATGAAGAATGCAAAAACCTAAGAAAGAAATTGAGAAACCTATCCAACCAAAAACATAGAGACCCAGAAAACCTGAGCCTACGCCTTCACTATGGTGAATCACTAAAACAATACAGAAATACACTACGGAAAAAGAAGGAACAGCATGTCAGAAATCAGCTCAATGTAATTGAAGAATCCATAGACTCTAACCACTTCTGGGAAAATTGGAAAACACTAAACAAACAACAACACGAAGAGCTATCTATCCAAAACGGAGATGTATGGGTAAACCACTTCTCCAATCTTTTTGGCCCTATAACAGAGAACAAACAGCAAAAAAATATACATGATCAAATGCAAATCTTAGAATCAACTATTAAAGACTACCAGAACCCACTGGATTCTCCAATTACATTGAATGAACTACAGGATAAAATACAAACCCTCCAACCCAAAAAGTCCTGTGGTGTTGATGGTATCCTCAATGAAATGATAAAATATACAGACCACAAATTTCAATTAGCTATACTTAAACTCTTTAACATCATCCTTAGCTCTGGCATCTTCCCCAACATCTGGAACCAAGGACTGATCACCCCCAATCCACAAAAGTGGAGACAAATTTGACCCCAATAACTACCGTGGGATATGCGTCAACAGCAACCTTGGGAAAATCCTCTGCATTATCATTAACAGCAGACTAGTTCATTTCCTCAGTGAAAACAATGTACTGAGCAAATGTCAAATTGGCTTTTTACCAAATTACCGTACGACAGACCACGTATTCACCCTGCACACCCTAATTGACAAACAAACAAAACAAAACAAAGGCAAAGTCTTCTCATGCTTTGTTGATTTCAAAAAAGCTTTTGACTCAATTTGGCATGAGGGTCTGCTATACAAATTGATGGAAAGTGGGGTTGGGGGAAAAACATACGACATTATAAAATCCATGTACACAAACAACAAGTGTGCGGTTAAAATTGGCAAAAAACACACACATTTCTTTCCACAGGGCCGTGGGGTGAGACAGGGATGCAGTTTAAGCCCCACCCTCTTCAACATATATATCAACGAATTGGCGAGGGCACTAGAACAGTCTGCAGCACCCGGCCTCACCCTACTAGAATCTGAAGTCAAATGTCTTCTGTTTGCTGACGATCTGGTGCTTCTGTCACCAACCAAGGAGGGCCTACAGCAGCACCTAGATCTTCTGCACAGATTCTGTCAGACCTGGGCCCTGACAGTAAATCTCAGTAAGACAAAAATAATGGTGTTCCAAAAAAGGTCCAGTTGCCAGGACCACAAATACAAATTCCATCTAGACACCGTTGCCCTAGAGCACACAAAAAACTATACATACCTCGGCCTAAACATCAGCGCCACAGGTAACTTCCACAAAGCTGTGAACGATCTGAGAGACAAGGCAAGAAGGGCCTTCTATGCCATCAAAAGGAACATAAAATTTGACATACCAATTAGGATCTGGCTAAAAATACTTGAATCAGTTATAGAACCCATTGCCCTTTATGGTTCTGAGGTCTGGGGTCCGCTCACCAACCAAGAATTCACAAAATGGGACAAACACCAAATTGAGACTCTGCATGCAGAATTCTGCAAAAACATCCTCCGTGTACAACGTAAAACACCAAATAATGCATGCAGAGCAGAATTAGGCCAATACCCGCTAATTATCAAAATCCAGAAAAGAGCCGTTAAATTCTATAACCACTTAAAAGGAAGCGATTCCCAAACCTTCCATAACAAAGCCATCACCTACAGAGAGATGAACTTGGAGAAGAGTCCCCTAAGTAAGCTTGTCCTGGGGCTCTGTTCACAAACACAAACAGACCCCACACAGCCCCAGGACAACAACAACAACAACACAACTAGACCCAACCAAATCATGAGAAAACAAAAAGAGAATTACTTGACACATTGGAAAGAACAAACAAAAAAAACAGAGCAAACTAGAATGCTATTTGGCCCTAAACAGAGAGTACACAGTGGCAGAATACTTGACCACTGTGACTGACCCAAACTTAAGGAAAGCTTTGACTGTGTACAGACTCAGTGAGCATAGCCTTGCTATTGAGAAAGGCCGCCGTAGGCAGACCTGGCTCTCAAGAGAAGACAGGCTATGTGCACACTGCCCACAAAATGAGGTGGAAACTGAGCTGCACTTCCTAACCTCCTGCCAAATGTATGACCATATTAGAGACACATATTTCCCTCAGATTACAGCGATCCACAAAGAATTCGAAAACAAATCCAATTTTGATAAACTCCCTTATCTACTGGGTGAAAAACCACAGTGTGCCATCACAGCTGCAAGATTTGTGACCTGTTGCCACAAGAAAAGGGCAACCAGTGAAGAACAAACACCATTGTAAATACAACCCATATTTATGTTCATTTATTTTCCCATTTGTACTTTAACTATTTGCACATTGTTACAACACTGTATATATACATAATATGACATTTGAAATGTCTTTATTCTTTTGGAACTTCTGAGTGTAATGTTTACTGTTAATATTTATTGTTTATTTCACTTTTGTTTACTATCTACTTCACTTGCTTTGGCAATGTTAACATACGTTTCCCATGCCAATAAAGCCCTTAAATTGAATTGAATTGAATTGAGAGAGAGAGAGAGAGAGAGAGTGACAGAGAGACAGATAGAGAATCCCATGTAAGAGAAAGATAGAAAAACAGATCCCCTGGCCTGCAGTCCCAATAGTCCCCACATAAATCCCCAAAAGTTAGACAGAAGGCAGGGATACCAAAGAGGATACTGAGTGACATTGGGCAATCTCGAATGAGTGGCCATAATCTATAATTGCATGATGGAGTATTATTAGTATTATTAGGCAGTATTATTGGGGGGGTTCGGTCATTTCGGTGGGGGTAATCGTTGAGGACTGAGGCTATAGACTCAACCTCCATGTCTTTATTCTAACACCCTGTGCGTGTGAACACTGTGATTACCCCCGTCGAAAGATGACAACGTATACCACCGCACCCGCGGTCCCAGCAATTAGCTAGCCTGGGAAAAGAATGTTGAAACCCAACCCCCCTTACGTTCAGACCCAACAGCCTGCTAGTTGTGGGAGAATAGCGGAAGGAATTCCAACTAGAGGAAAAACACGTAATGCGGATGGAATGACAAGAGGAAAAATAGAGACTATGATTGTTACGGTTGTCTATTTGTTTGTAGGCCTAGGCTACAACTAGCGCTATCGGAGCAGCATGCTAGGCTATAGGCCATAGGCTGTTAGGGAACAGGCTACAGGCTAACAAGGATTTTTATACATACACTCTATATCATTTTTTGGGGCATGCATTTTCAACTGTTTTCATGTGAGACCTCTTGTGAGAAAAACTTCCAATGTGTTTGCCACAAACTCCAAACCCAAAGTGTTATGAACCTTGACTATTCAAAATGGCCGCCGCCGCCGACTCACCAGCTGAAGCCGTGTTTGTTGGTGGGGGTGTGTTTCTCCAGGAGGGCTGTAAGCTGTAGCAGGCAGAGCTTCTGGAGCAGGTTCATCTGCAGTACTGACTGGCAGCCGATCTGCCGCTGGGCCCAGGAGTGACTGGGCCGGTGAGAGGACTGGAAACTGGGCCAACGCAGCTTCTGAGACCTTCGGTAGAGGTGGGAGAAATATATGTTCACTAAATATATGCGTTTACCTAATATATTGCACAACATACAGAAAAATACTGAGGGCTATCCGAAGCTATCAGAAGCACAATCAAACTTCCAAATACAAACACAAATGTATGCAAAGAATTTCATATAAATAGCAAATATGTATGTAAAATATATATGTGTAAATATATAGGTTAACATATATTAGGGAAATATACACAAAACACACTAATCATCCTCTGTAGCTCAATTGGTAGAGCATGGCGCTTGTAACACCAGGGTAGTGGGTTCAATCCCCGGGACCACCCATATGTAAAAATGTAGTCGCTTTGGATAAAAGCGTCTGCTAAATGGCATATTATATTATATAAGCCCTAAATGAGTTGAATCAGGTAAGTTTGTCAGGGGATACAACAAAAATGGATGCTTATGGGGTACTCAAGAACTGGAGTTGGGAAGCACTGATTTAGCCTGTCAGCGGCTATGGGAGCGTATGAAACCTTCTGGAATTCTGTCTGTGGATTCCTGAGGGAATGGCTGCATCTCCGCGGAGACGGATCGGCATTCCGAGGTCCGAGGTATTCACCGCATCTCATCGCCGTGACAGCCGGTTACGTAAGGGTTAGGGTTAGGAGAGTCGTCTCAACATGTCAACTCTGTCTGTGTTTCTCCCTCCATCTAACTTGATTTCTTTCTCTTTCTGTACCTCTACCCATCTCTCTCTTTCTCTTTCTGTACCTCTACCCATCTCTCTCTTTCTCTTTATTTCTGAACTTCCTTCTTCACCCCCCTCTCTCTCACCCTCTCTCTCACCCCCCTCTCACCCTTTCTCTCTCAACCCTAAATCCAAACACTTAAGAATGTAGAATTGAACTCGCCAGTCCTTCATCTTAACACACAGGACATTTCCCAAATTGGGACAATAACAATATTGGTGATATCTATAGATTGTTTAACAGAGAGGGGATTCATTAATTTATTACTGACCTGTTAGATCTGGTGAGAGAGGCTCCCACTCCGGAGTCGCTCCTCTCCCTCATGGATTCTTCCCCCTCTCCTTCTTCCTCATCTCCTTCTTCCCCCTGTCCTTCTCCCAGAGGGTTGCCCGTGCTGTCCTGGTCGCTCCCGTTGTCCGTCTCCTCCAGCCGGTTCTGCAAAGGTGAGGACGGACACGGAGACGCGGAATCCAACGCTGAATCCGAATCCCCCTCTTCTTCTTCTTCTTCGTCTTCTTCTCCGGCTGCCACCCTGTCCGTCCAGGCGTTGACGAATCGCTGCAGGCCGCTGACGCGTTCCAGCACCTCCTCCAACTTAGGCCCCTCCCCTTCTTCGTCGTCATCGTCGTCTTCCTCGCCTTGATAGGCCACGATGGGCACGTTGTCGTAGAAACTCAGGCGGCTGTCCGCCGAGCCGGTGGAGCTGCGACGCGTTTGGCATCGGCTGCCGAGTAGGCGTCCGCCGGTGCCGGCAAGACACCTGTATTCGTCATTTCCACTTTGCGGTGGTTGTTTGCCATCGCCGAGCGCTTTGGGGAACGTGCCCGGTTTGTGGCCTTCGGGGAGGAAGAAGAAAATCACGCCTTCCTCCTCCTCTTCCTCTCTGTTGAGGTGACCATGCTTGCTTTGGCCGCCACACTTGTGGCGGTTTTGCTCGCCCACTGTCCGGTTACTAGGCTGTTGTTGAAGTGGTTGCTGTGCGGTTTTGGGTTGGGTTGAACCAGGGGGTTGTTGTTCTCCGGGCGGCTGTAGGAACACGTTTAATGGGTCAAAACCTTCCAGGTACATCCCACCTCTCTTACTGGCCCCCGCTGCGGTGGTGTGACTTCGGGCTCGCGTCACCGGGCTAGGGGTGCTCACCGTGCTCCCGCTGCTTGCTTCCGATTGGCTGCTGCCCGTGCTTCCGGCGCTCCCCATGCTGCCGCTGCTGGTCTGCGTGGAGTAGGATACGCTCCTGTTACGGTTCAGGGTCATGGTTTGGGTCGGGTTGAGGGTGAGGCTGGAGATGTCAACGCAGTTAAGGCGCCGTAGCTTGTCGTCGTCTAGTCCTTCTTTGATGACTGGCCCGCTGATCTCCAGTTTGGAAGGCCTTCCCCCGATGCCGTTCTTCTTCTTGCTATTGGACGTGGAGCTCCTCAGTCTGATGCTCTCCATGCGTTTGAGGAAACTCTTGGCCCGTGAGCGTGTGCTCTTCCCTCTTCCTTCTGTCCCTCCTGTTTCCACAATTCCACCAGGCTTGCCCTCGAAGGAGAAGCGCCCTAGCGTCGTCTCCAATGGTGAGTGCGGAGGCCCCCCGTCAGAGAACGAGTCCTCGTTGGCACCGCACGACCCGCCTGTGCCCGAGGAGGAGCACATGCTGGCCATCGAGCTGGCGCGGGTGGCGCCCGTTGCTGGGGTGGCATCGCTAGATGTGGCACCATTGACTTTCCCTCCCTCTCCCCCGCTCCCGCTGCTGTGAAGCGAGGCCACCTCGGGCTGCTCGCTGAGATCCGTCAGCACGCTCTCGGAGCTCAGGCCCTCGCGGAGCTGCCCTTGACCGGCTGAGGGTCTCTGGTCCTGGGGGAAGGGCGGCTGGTTGTCCCCAGGGAGGAAGAAGACATCCAGCTCCTCCAGGCGAGACCAGCGCTTGCTGTCCCGCTGGAAGGTCCAAAGGCCACTGATGGCACATGGCTCTTCCTCGTCTGAATCCTCACTCTGGAGTAGAGAGAGAGAGAGAAGACAGAGAGAGGGGGTTGGGGGCAGGTTAGTGTTTTTCGTCATGAATCTTACATTTACATTTACATTTTAGTCATTTAGCAGACGCTCTTATCCAGAGCGACTTACAGTTAGCACATACATTATTTTATCGAACCCACAACCCTGGCGTTGCAAACGCCATGCTCTACCAACTGAGCTACATCCCCTGCCGGCCATTCCCTCCCCTACCCTGGACAAAATCTTGTACTGGAGGCAGCTCTGCAGAGTGGTCACTAGCTGGCACAACCACAAAGTAATACAATCTGGTTTTAAACCTAACCCTAACCTTAACCTTAACCACACTGCTAACCCTAATGCCTAACCCTAACCCTAACCTTAACCACACTGCTAACCCTAATGCCTAACCCTAACCCTAACCTTAACCACACTGCTAACCCTAATGCCTAACCCTAACCTTAACATTAACCACACTGCTAACCCTAATGCCTAACCCTAACCTTAAATTAAGCCAAAAAAATGAATTTTTACAATATAGCCCATCTACTGGAAATCTCTCAGTTCTGCCTCTAAGGCAAGATTCATGTCAATAAACGTCAACCCGCGGGAGACACTTTATTACTATAAGATTACAATTTAAGTAAAAATACGTTATATTTTCAAGATTTTCCTTCTCTGTTTCAGTTCTGTGAACAACTTTTTAACATGAACTCTCTTTCTAAAAGGTGAATGGCCATGCAGTCAAATGAGCTGCCCTGTATTCTGTCCAGTCCAGATGACCTTGTGTGTGTCCCAACTGGCACCCTATTCCCTATGTAGTGCACTACTAATGACCAGGGCCCATAGAGCTCTGATCAAAAGTAGTGCACTAAATATGGAAACGGTTGCCGTTTGGGACACAATCTTTGTGTGAGAGCAGCAGGGATATTCACAGACAAGCAGATCTGTAGACATTCCTCAACTCCCTTCCCGACCGCTGGGACATTTCACAGAGATAAGATTCACACACAGCTGGTTAATGGTTGTTATTGCGTTGGAACTTATCCCTGACCGTGAAAACGACAACAGAGTCTCTCTATCTTTCTCTCTCTCGCACACACGCGCGCACACAAACACACGCACGCACGCACACACAGGTCCCGAGAGGACTCCAGGAAATTCCATCCCGATCCGAGAAGTTCACACGCCAGCCGGCCAGGCTAGGGTCAAACCCCTTCCCCCACACACACGGCGCACATGCAGGCACGCACAAACCCCCCCCGGGTGTGAAACAGAGGTGTTACTGCTCTGTCATTCCCACAGGGCCAGTCTGCCCCCCTAATTCAGGAAAGTGAAACTGCCTGCCAAGGGGACCAGGGAGGGGCGCGGGAGCCTCCAGACTTCACTGGTGCCTACTTCAGACTTCACGGTGGCTGTGAGCGGTGGGGACAAAAGTCCATAAAATAAAACCCTGGGTCCTCCTTTTACGACCCTGCTCTCCACTCACCACGACACACACACACACACACACACAGCCCTTTCTCACTTTAGCTTTGATCATGACGGCCAGAAACTCATTCTGTCTGATATACTGTGACGTCATGACGACCATAGTGGAGGCGTTTGACTTTTGAGCTCAATAGCAACAATGTCAACACCTAGAACTATCTAGATGGTCAACCTTATCTTCAGCGGCATTCATTGACTCCTGCAGCTGTGGGTGTTTTGACATGTCAAAACGACGTCATATCTCTGATTTCAACAACTATGGGGAAGAGACATGAGGAAAACACATTTCAAAAAAGAGGGAGAGATATACACTTACATTTTAATCATTTAGCAGACGCTCTTATTACAATTAGGGTTAAATGCCTTGCTCACGGGCACATCGGCAGATGTTTCACCTAGTCCGCTTGGGGATTCGAACCAGCAACCCTTCGCTCTTAACCACTAGGCTACCTGCTTTCCTCTATACACAGAGTAGGAAATGAAGTCACTGAGCTGCTATGCTGACCAGGGGGGTTAACAACTGTCAGTCTGAAGAGATTAAATAGCTCCTTTGACCCTTCTCTGTTGACTCCTTGATGAAAGGTGACACAGCGAGGGTCATCCCATTGAATACCAGCTCGCACACACGTACACACGCGCACACACACACACACACACACACACACATGGATCAAGGAACTATATTGTTTAAGATTTTAGGTAATTATAGAATGGAGGTTGATGGGAGAAGGATCTTGACAAACAACTAAACTCCTTAGTGTCCTGGTGGGTTAGTTTGAGTTAGTTTGGGGTAGTTTGATTTAGTTTGGGGTGGTTTGGTTTAGTTTGGGGTAGTTTGATTTAGTTTGGGGTAGTTTGGGTAGTTTGATTTAGTTTGGGATAGTTTGGATTAGTTTGCAGTGGTTCTGGGAATCATGGCCAATAGCTTACTTGTTTTTCATTTAACAAATGAAACCAGAGGGAGAGAAATGAGAAATGCAAGCTTCCAGGAATCGTGCTACGTAGAAAGATACATTTTCACACACACACACACACACACACACACACACACACACACACACACACACACACACACACACACACACACACACACACACACACACACACACACACACACACACACACACACACACACACACAGTCGTACGCAGCTAACCTTGTGGGGACATACAATTCAGTCCCATTCAAAATCCTATTAACCCTAACCCTAACCTTAACCCAAAAACCTAACCTTAACCCTAACCCTAAACCTAGCTCCTAACCCTAACCCTAAACCTAATTCTAACCCTAACACTAATTCTAACCTTAACCCTAAACCCCTAGATAAAGCATTTGACCCCAGTTGGTGAAATTTCTCTTGGTTTACTATTCTTGTGGGGACTTCTGGTCCCACAAGTATAGTTAAACACGTCCACACACACACACACACACACACACAAACAGCAAAAAAAGACATGACTTCAGCGACATACTATTCCCTTTTATGGACAATGATATGAGGAAGTGTGTGTGTGTGCTGTGTGTGTGTATGTCTGTATATGTGTGTGTGTTCAGGATCAGGCCTGAGGAAGGAGGGCTGGCCGCGTGAACAGCAAGCCCTTCATTTGGACATAAAAGCTATCTTTCCTCGCCTTGGGCACTTCACAAAGGGCTTGATAAGAAGACAGGTGCCTTTTCATTAACAGAGAAGAGAAGAGAGAGAGACTGTCACACCCCAGGCTACAAGGAGGCCGGAGTTGGAGGAGAGGAAGGAAAAACTAAACTGGGTTCGGAAAAGTTGTGAAGAAGTAGGGGATTTTTGGGTGTGAAAGGGTGGAAGAGGAGGGTGGAAGAGGAGGGTGGAAGAGCAGGGTGGAATAGGAGGTTGGAAGATGAGGGTGGAAGGGGAGGGTGGAAGAGGAGGGTGGAAGAGGATGGTGGAACTTACTCTCTTTCTCTGTGGGGAGATCTCCAGTCTCATCAGGGCACACTTGTTGAGGGTGTTCAGTCTCCTGTAAATAGATACAGATACACAATCAGATACATAAACACACACACACACACACACGGAGGAGTCCTAGCAAAACACCCAACAACAAGCCTTTGACCTAGACAAACCCCAGAGAGAGAAAAGACAGGAAGAGAGGAAGAGAGAGAGGAAGAGAGAGAGAGAGAGAGAAGAGAGAGAAGATATATCGAGAATAGAGCGAGAGCAGAGGCTACTACTCCATTCCGATAGAGCATCTCTATGCGTCCGCGAGCTCGCTATCGATCTCTGCTCTCTCCTCCCTATCTCTTAGCTCTCTCGCTCTCCTCTCTTATATAGAGAGCGCTTCCTTTTATCAGCTAAATGAGGCTCTTAATTATGCGATCCGTGGCAAGAGTTGTGCTACTTCATGCATCCCGCGTATAACTCCTCAGAGTTTCGACGAAAAAACGACAATTTTGGGATGAGTTACCCCCTGGACACCTGCGAGGGGTGGGGGCAGTTAGTATTTTTAGAGTTTGTTTGTGTGGTGTGTGTTTTGTGTGTGTGTGTGTGTGTGTGTGTTTCTCCTCTCCCCTCTGGGAGCCCCCCTTGGAGCAGATCATGTAACAATGGGTGGAGGAGGGTTTGGAAAAGGGGGGAAAGGGGTGGGTGTGAGGGAAGGCGGGATGCGGCTGTCCGCGCATGTGGGTCCTGGCGCTCGTCATTTCGGAGTTCGTTCTTTTTTTTTTGCTCTTTTCTGCGGTCTTTTCTTTTTTTCGCCCTGTTTTCGTGAGTTTGGCTGGAATGGGGGATTCCTTCCGTTATTCGACCTAGGACACCTGCTGCTGGGGTTCTGAAGCCCTGCTTCAAACCCCTATTTCCTTTGTACAAATACTTTTGACCCGGAGCCCTATTTGGTCAAAATAGGGCACATAAATGGCCTAGGGGGCCATTTGGGATGTAACCCAACAACTGGGAAAATCCACTCATTCCCGGTAAAAAACTTGTGCCTTTTTCCTGTATTTAAATGTATTGAAATTATTTCACCGGTCCAAGGAGTCAACTGTTCAGTAACAGAGGAGGCTGGTGAGTGGAGGACGGCTCATAATAATGGCTGAAATGGAGTAAATGGAATGGTATACTTTTAGCCCGTCCTCCAATGGCGAACATGCATAAAGATGGCAGAATTCAGAGATGACGTCATTGTTTTAGCACTATCCACTGAATGTTTAATGTGCCACTAAATTAGCACAAAAATGCTTTTTCTGTTTTTCAAATTGCAGGCGTCTTGAAGCTAAAATTGGGATAATGTATACTTTGCCAATGACCATACAAAAAAAGAGTAACGGAGAGCGATGTACAACAGGCAAACCTAGCAAAACGAAGAATTTGTGGTATTGCATGGGGGCCGCCATCTTTATTCACCTCTGCTATTAAAAGTGCCACCAGCCACCACTGTACTGTTATCACAGGAGCTTTACCACTGACATTGCATTATATAATATGATCTATAGCCCTTTGAATGTTCCCCACAAACCCCTTAGGCCTAGAAGCCGCCCAGGTGTGGTGAAAGGAGGGAATGTTCTAGATGTATTTTCTTTAAAAAACGACAACAAGAACATCGCGTGACCGTGGAGCCGGAGCGAGGGAGGGAATGTGGAGCGATAAGACGGAGAGATGGAGAGAACAGGACAACGATACGAAACGTCTCTAATGGGAAAGAAGTAAACATTCACAGCCCCCACGGTGCATGTAGCACAGAGAGAGAGAGAGAGGGGACGTGTGGAAAAAGTGACGAGATAAAAGCATAATGAAAGAGAGAGAGGGGAGTACAGAGAGAGGCAGAGTGAAAGCAAGACAAGAGTGATGGATGCGGAGAGAAAGAGACGGAGTGAGATAAGAGCCAGAGAAAGCAGGAAGGAGTAAGAAGAGAGATAGAGAGAAAGAGACAGAGAGAGAAAAGAGAGGCTTATCGCGTTGCTCTTTCATCTCAAACTCAACCTGCGGAGCATGCCATCTTTGAAGATATACTTTCTTCACTATCTTCACTATGCCTACCCTTACTGCAGTTTTGACAGAGAAGATGAAGAGATAGAGAAATTTAGAGAATGGAAAGAATAAATATACAATGGAACATAAATTGGGTGAAGGTTGAGAAAGAGAGGAGGAAGGACATAGAGAGGTGAATGAGAGGAGGGGAGCTGTTTCTTCGCTCTGCTTTGTTTCTTGTCTCTGTTCTGCTTCCCTCATCTGTATTTTCTTCCCTCTTTCTTGCTGCCTCGTCCTTTTCTCCTCTCGCATTGTCTTCGCCTCCTCTGTTCTTCGGTCCTCCTCTTTTGCGTTCCCTCGGCTTCTCTTGCTTCTTCTCTCTCGTTTCTGATGTCTTTTCGGTTTGCTGTTCGCGTGCTAGGAGGTCAGATACCTAGAGAAGCCTACACGGTTCAGTTGTTCACTTCTGGAGACAGATGAAGAAAAAGAGAGGAGGAGGAGAAGTCTGACCTGCACAGAGCCTCGATGCATCTCGTGTCCCAGGATCATGGTCCCCTTTTCAAGCACAAACTCATGGGGAACAAGCCCTGAAAGAAGGAAAAGAAGAAAGGAAGTTTTCTGGTTGAGAGTTTTCGGGAAACGATCCAAAGATTTGAAAAAATTTTACGGAAGAGGGAAGGTGAAGGATGAAACTTTTGGATCTTCCCCAAAACCCTTTTGTTTTTTCATTTTTTTGTCTTGCTTAATTCTTAGCATATAGCCTTTTTGGTTCAAAGGGAGGAGTAAAAAAGCTGTCTTCGCTCGCCCCCGCCTTTGCGTCTGCCTTTAGATATTTTCATTCACTTGCCTCCTCACATTTAAAGGGGTTATGAATTTTGCCAGTAAACTAGAAAAGGAGAAGTATATACTGGAGGGACCTTTCTGAGGACTGAGGGCGTGCGGGGCTGCGCTTTATTGCGGGGTTTATGCGCTTTTGTTTTTTTATTCGCTGTTTTTTTTTCGGCCGTGTGCGGTGTTTAATAATGTTTTTACATAAAAAGAGAGTGTATGTTTCACGTTTTTACTGTTTATTTCACTTTTATTTCATCCCACACACAACCCACACACATCCCACACCACAATGAAAAGCTAAGAGGAAGTGCCGTCTTAGCCGGCCAAACAAACACAGCTGTACCATTCAGACCTGGGCAGCAGGGGGGTGAGTGTGTGGCGGGGGTCGACAGGGGAATGACAATAGGTACTCCCCCATTAAAGGAGTCCTCTGCTTACCTCTCTCTCTTCTCTATATCACTCTATTAAAGGGGCAATCTGGGATTCAAACTCACTCTATTAAGAAGTCACTGGGTCTGTGTCCCAAATATAACCCTTTTTAGTGCAATACTTTCGACCAGGGCCCAAAGGGAAAAGGGTGCCATTTGGGACGCAGACTTGGACCCCCATTGATGTCTGCTAATGAAGAACTGAGTAAAGAAAACGTGTGAAAGAAAAGATGGATAGATCAATTATAAGGGTATGTATTGGATGAAGACAATAATGCAATGATGACCTAGCCCTAGTGAGGGTATCCTACAGCTCCTAGCCTCCTGTGTCCCAAATCACACCCTATTCCCTTTATAGTGCACTACTTTTAACCAGAAACCTATGGGCCCTGGTTAAAAGTAGTGTGCCATTTTGGACGCAAGCCTAAGGGTCAAAGGTGATAAGAAAACGGCAGCTTTTCTATTCACCTTTCACATACTGTACTGTGACAGTACTATCTGTCTGCCTTATCTACTGTGGGGCAGGAGTCCTTTACAGCCAGAGACAATAGAACAGAGAATGTCCTGGGATAATAGACTGGGGGGAATGTGTCGTGTGTAAGGCAGGAGTTCTGTACTGAGTGCGGAATCATCAGTGTGACCTGGTATGAGTCAGCATAGCTCATCACAAAGCTGTCGGATGGACGGTTTGGCGTGTGTGTTGGTGTGTGTGTACCTCTCTTTGTATGTGTGTGTGTGCCTCTGCGTGTGTGTGTGTGTGTGTGTGCTTCTCTGTGTGTGTGTGTGTGTCGGCTGTCACACACAACCTTAATCACCTGTCCAAAAACATGGCGAACATCCCAGTCTCTTGGCAGCTAGCATACCTAGCACGGTTCAATGGCAACAACTAATGGACTGTTGACAAAGCTAGTTTTATCATGCTTTAAGGTCCCTTGGATTACATAAAAGGCTATGCTCTGTGCAGGCACGTTTTTAGGTTACGTATGAGAATACCTTTTGGCTTTAGGGTTTTGGCAATTGTTTCACTTGTGTGTCTGCAACATTGAGGTTCACTGAGGCAAAACAAAAAACACACCGCTGGCCCCTCAGGAATGTGTGTGTGTGTCTGTGTGTGTGTGTGTGGGGTGTGTGTATTTCTGCATAAGCAAGGCAACTTGGTGGGCAGGGGTGAATTAGCACTTAAAATGATAAAAGGATTGGAGTACCATTGAGACTGCAGGACAGAGGACAGGAAAAGAGGAGTCTTGCGTGCCATTGGATTGCTCTAAAGGCTATAGAATGTCCTTGCATTCAGCTATAGTTCAATAAAAATACCGACTTAGAGAGGATGTCAACAGAACAGCCTATCTTGTGTTTGCCCATTAAAATTAGCATAGCGAGTTAATTTGTTCAAATTAACTTTTGAGGTTCAACATTTTAGGTCACGACAGTCTGTCACATAGAGTTAGTCTGAAAACGGACGGGTCGACAGACTGGAAGAAAATAAAGGGTGGGTTCTCTCTCTCTCTCTCTCTCTCTCTCTTCTCTCTCTCTAAAATCAACCATGACTTCATCAGATGGCAAGATATGAACTGTGTAACGTTAATTTGGCCTGATATTTGGTAAGAAAACAACTATCCCAAAGTTCACGTGACCTAAAAAATCTAACAACACCAGGATTTCACTGTTACTGTGACATTTTCACACGGTCTGTGGGAAAAGGGACATTGGCAAAAAATCTGAACGCTCGGGCCAGCGATGATGCTAGCTTTTCCGATTTGCCATGGTCCTTCGATTGTCACCGGGACAGATCAGGCACAGCTGTGGACGGCTGTAGCAGGGGTTCTTAGGGGTCCTTACCTTCGTACAGCTGGGCGTACTGTGGGAAGCCGGCAGCCCGGAGCCAGGTGCACGCCTCTTTGGCCTCGATCTCTGCAAGGGCGGGAACAGAAAGACTACCTTCAGAATTTAAAATCACTCACTACACAAACACTCAAAACCATCACATTTCAGTCCTCAAAACCATCACATTTCAGTCCTCAAAACCATCACATTTCAGTCCTCGCATATAAATCAAATCAAAGTTTATTGGTTGCGTACACGGTTTAGCAGATGTTATAGCGGGTGCAGAGAAATGCTTGTGTTACTGGCTCCTAACAGCGGCTCAGAAATGTATCAGCTGATATATAATAACACCTGCAGTAGAAGCATGAATGGCTGTAAGGGGTTTTTCAGTGGTCAAAATGGGACCCAAAGTCTTTCCACACAGTTCAGTCTGACACAAACCTCTTGACCCTCTTAGTCCCGGTCACTACCCTCTCACATGCTTCCAAAGCCCTCATAGCTGTAGTTCACACCAACCGTGTCAGTCGCTGACGCGCAATGTGTGTGTACGTGTTACCACTGCGACCTAAGCTTCCAGTAAGTGTCGCGGTGAAACTTTTCTTCCGGGTCACTTTAGCGTTGTCGCAACGTTTCCCAACCAACGTTTCCCTGAGAAGACTTGTCTTGTAACCCTTTAGTGTTTTTTGAGTTGTGGTGTTACATTTGGTATGGAGCCGCTAAGTGCCGTCGATGGCTGTCGGGGTGGGTGCCGTTGTGTGTCTGGCGGGGAGACAGACTGCCCCATTAACAGTAATAAGCCCCTTTAGATACCACATGCCAAATGGTCACCCTTGCCCCACCCTCCACCATGTTGACTCCAGCAGCCACACCCCTCAGTGTACTTCACACACAAAACAGAATCAGTGGCACCGACCCTTAAAAAAACACCTTCAGTAAAATGACCGCAACTGCAACCGTCCCCCCCTCAACAATATCTGCTGCTATCGTATTTGCGATCTATACAATCAGTCTTCACAATTGTAGACTAATGTTTCTTTCTTTCTTTATTTTCCTTTCTTTCTTTCCTCACAGGTTAATGGATGTGTTTTGTGTCCCGGAGCATGATTGGGGTAGTAATTGCAGCCATTGGAGAAAATCGGATGGTTTCATCTTTAGAATGCGAGTAGTAGTGGTGGTTCCACCTCATTTAGACCCAGATTACAGACAGGGTCTTCTGTTCTAACTTTGGAACAGGGGGAGAGATGAGAAAGGAGGGGAAAATAGATGCAAGAGAGGAGAAGAGGTCATTTTCTCCTAAAGGGGGTTAGACTGGAGGGAGAAACAAACAGAAAGGTAGGAAGAGATACAGTAGAAAGAAACAACTTAGACATCAGAAAGGACAAAAGTAACTGCTGTGGTAGGATAGTTATGGGGGATCCTCAAGTGAGACAAAGAGAGAGAGAAACAGAGAGAGAGAAACAGAGGGAGAGAGAAACAGAGAGAGAGAGAAACAGAGGGAGAGAGAAACAGAGGGAAAGAGAAACAGAGGGAGAGAGAAACAGAGGGAGAGAGAAACAGAGAGAGAGAAACACAGAGAGAAACAGAGAAACAGAGAGAGAGAAACACAGAGAGAGAAACAGAGAGAGAAACAGAGAGAGAGAAACAGAGATAGAAACAGAGGGAGAGAGAAAGAGAGAGCGAGAGAAAGAGAGAAACAGAGAGAGAGAGAAAGAGAGAGAGAGATAAACGAAAAAACAGAGGGAAAAAGAGAGTGGGTCAGACAGAGAGAGAGCGAGAGAGAGAGAGAGAGAGAGAGAGAGAGAGAGAGCGATAGAGAGCGAGAGAGAGAGAGAGAGAGAGAGGCCCTTGCAGCTGACTAAGACCAGGCTGAGACACTATAGCCCTTCAGTATTACGAGGCATTTACATACCAACAAGAAGCCTAGACGGCAGACACTAGAACACTAGACAGGCTGCCGGCAAAAAGGTGTGACGCGACCAACACACAGGGTCTCCCCCCCACTCTCACAGTGGCCAGGAACTCCCCTACAACCACCGCCACCATAGTGTCATGTAACCAAATAACTAATTAATGACTGTGTTTCACAACTCTTGTTTGGTTCCAGAAGACTAGTCTAGTTTTCGCAGTGAATTCCAACATGGCCGAATCTTGGAAGCTGGGAAGCTTGTAATTTGGGCTGGTATTTATGGAAGGTTGGGAACCCTGAAGGAACATAGGCAACTCAGAGTAATTACAGCAACATTCTTGGATACAGAGACCAACATAAGGTTAGGGCTTCCTGTGTGTGTGAGTGTGTGTTTGCGGCAATAGTACTGCTTGTCCATTTTGAGACGCAGTAGCCACTTTTACATCTAACATACTATGTTTGGTGCAGTATTTCTCAATGGAAACACGACCATGAAAATGAGTCGTCTCTCGTTGAACAACAACAAAGACTTTACTGAAAAATCCCTACTGTTGACCAGTCACTGACAAAGGGGCGCAGACTTCGGCTACCGACTTCGGCTACTGACTTTCGCTTGCCTCAAGAAAAAAATGGCGTGTGCCCGAACAACCGAAAAATCTCTTACCGAAGTCCAAAACGAACTAAAACGTAACAAAACGTTGTCATAATATATGCACGAATTCTTCCGAACTGTTTCTGCTGGGAAGTATGCGGACGCCTTTCCCCAACCAACCCTCCAATAGGGAGTAGGGGGAGGAGTAGAGGACAACATTTCTGTGCTGAAGGTTTTTGGAGGCACAACACATGCACACACAAATGACACCCCACAATGCATTGCAGTTAACCTCCGACCCTGCCATCCAACTTTCCTCACCCTTGACCTTTGCACAGCGACATCACCTGGCCTTTGTGACATAACCCGCAGCCCAAAAAAACAACAACGCCTGTTGGCATAAACAAAAATGAACAAGGTTCTGTATCACTGACTGGACCTCCGTTCAACAACACAAACAAGAACATATTTATTTTTAATCGTCTTTTTCTTTTGTCGTTTCCACTCAGAGGGTTTTGGTTCAATGAGGAAGACACATTTCAGTTGTTCAACCCTTTCCCTTTCCTTTCCAGTGGAGAGGCACACACACACACACACACACCATAAAATCTTCACCATAACTAGTGATTAGACCTAGTCCTACACACCACTGTGACTAGCAACAATAGAAACTATTTCTGCCTCCCAAACATACACTACTTGCATCACGATAATAGGATGATAGAATCCGCCCATCCTGTAGACAGAATAGAACACTCCCACTCCCAAGCACGCACACAAACACACCCACACGCATGCACACACATGCACACACACACACACGCACACACACACACACATACACACACGGTTAGTGCTATAGAGACATTTGAGAGCTGGCGGGTGGGTCCCCTCTCTGCCCTAGCTAGCCATCCCTCAATCCGCCCGTCTGTCTGTCTCTCTCTCCAGCCAGACAACGTCCCTCAGACATCCTGTGTGGCCCTTGGCGCGGCCCAAATTCAGCCAGGGGCCCGGGGATCACATCGCCCATCCAGCTGGGGAGGGAGAGGGTGTGCGTGTGATTGGGGCGCAGCAGAGTAAGGCCAGATGGGCTTTGGTGGTTAAGAGGAAGCAGGATTCCAGGAGAAGTGGAACCAACCAACCAACATTCCAATCAACCAACCAACATTCCATCCAACTAACCAACATTCCAACCAACCAACCAACTTTCCAACCAACATTCCAACCAACCAACCAACCAACATTCCAACCAACCAACCAACATTCCAACCAACTAACCAACATTCCAAACAACCAACCAACATTCCAACCAACCAACCAACATTCCAACCAAGTATTAGCTAAACATACATAGTCCCTCACACAGTATAGCACCTCTTATGTCAATTCCAGACCTCAAGGGCGGCAGTTAGCCTAGCGGTTAAGAGTGTTGGGACAGTAACCGAAAGGTTCGAATCCCCTCTCCGACTAGGTGAAAAATATACCGATGTGCCCTTAAGCAAGGGAGTTAACCCTAATTGCTCCTGTAAGTCTCTCTGGATAAGCATCTGCTACATAACTAAAATGTTATGTCAAATAATAATAATAATAATGTCAAATTAACAAACGTACAGAAAGACCTTTGTGAAAATATAATGTATCCTGCTAACTGTGCCACTAGAGATCCTGGTTCGTATCCAGGCTCTGTCGCAGCCGGCCGCGACCGGGAGACTCATGGGCGGCGCACAATTGGCCCAGCGTCGTCCAGGGTAGGGGAGGGAATGGCCGGCAGGGATGTAGCTCAGTTGATAGAGCATGGCGTTTGCAACGCCAGGGTTGTGGGTTTGATTCCCACGGGGGGCCAGTATAAAAAAATAAATATATATATATATATATGTATTCACTAACTGTAAGTCGCTCTGGATAAGAGCGTCTGCTAAATGACTAAAATGTAAATGTAAAATGTTTAAAGCCCAGGGACAATATTCATAAAGCACCTCGTAGTAGGAGTGCTGATCTAGGATCAGTTTTGCTTTTTATATTGTAGCGAATATAATTATATCGACAGAGGGAACCTGGTCCTAGATCAGCACTCCTACTCTGAGTCTTCATGAATACAGGCCCTGAAGTACTGTTGGTTTTCAAACTTCCCCTTTAACTATCCCTGGGATAGCTTTTTCCCTATATTTATCCGTGCGGTGGAGGACACAATCACTTGAAGCGCGTGTTTGTGTTGAACACGTTATCTGGCTGGGAACAAAAGGAGGCCTGCCGTGTTGCACGCTAGCTCATGGTCACCGTCGCGCCGCTTGGCTCACTTCCTGTGAGGCAAGCAGGAAGGGGAAGTGATGTAGTTCCCTGGCAAAGGATCAGGGTGGATGGTGTGTGTGGACGGCAGAGGACAGAACAGAACACACCCGTCCTGCCAGAGATGCGTGTTGTGTGTGTATGTGTGTGTGTAGTGTGTTGTGTATGTGTGTGTGTGGGTGTGTGTGTGTTGTGGTGTGTGTGTGTGGTGTGGGTGTGTGTGTGTGCTGTGTGTGGGTTCTTTTGGGTTTTGGGTCATGAATACCTGTCTGTACATCAACAGAGAAACTGACACAAGACA